CCAAACTCCACGCCAGACTCGTCTTTTTGCGCTAGGAATGCCTTTCTCTTTCTTCGTAGTCAGCGGGACGTGTAGATCTAGCCAAATTCGTGCTTGGGGCAGACGACAGAGAATCGATGGATAGCATGTGACTGGTTCGGGAAAGTCCCTACTTACTGATCCAGAACTATCAGCTTGCTGTCCCGCTTCCTCTCCAACATCCGAGTCATCGTCACGGGAGCTTGCAACACTCTGGATTGGGCTCAGGGCACGACTGGTGTACTCGTTTGCGTGTTCGCCATAGTGGTCTATGTATGTTTGGTCCACATGGTGGGTTTCTGCCTTTGTTGGAGTGATATCCTCGTCAAGGTTTAGGCTGCGTTGACTTTGAGCACTCAAACCTTTCGCCGATAAAGCTTCATTAGATTTCGACTCATTCGCTACTCCACGGGGTGTTTGGGTTGGTGTTCGAGAGACAGGTAAACCAGCTTCGTGCGGTGATCGGCGTGTTACCTCACCATGACGGGGACTTTCAGTACCAGTAGTCAGTTGGGATAATAGAGATTCCCTTGTCAATTCTGAATCTATATCACTGCGTAGGGGCATTGGGGGAACTCCGTGCTTCTGGAACATCAGTTCAGTTTCATTGACGCTTCCACTTCGACTTCGGCTCTTGCTGCGTTTCTTCCTCCGCTCACGTTTGTCCAGGCTAGATTTAGAGTCATGGTGTTTAAGAGCGGCACTGGTCAGGGCGGTGCCGACGATTGCTGCAGCTTCAGCATCGCGAAGTCCCTTGGACTTTTTCCTCTGTATGGGTTCATCCGAGGGATAAGAGTCTTCGGAAAATCTCCGTGTAAAAGATTTAACATACTGTGATTCGCGTGACTTCTCCCGTCTTGGTTCCTTGGATCTCTTTGAATATCCGTCCGAGATGATTAATGGATCTTTACTGCCATTACTGACTATCACGCGTGGTTTGGTGACATCCGGAGCACTGGCATGTTTGGACAAGCGTCGTCCCAGTTCATCCCTAGATCCGATACTCCCAGAACCTAGAGAGCCATTCGTATCGCGCTCGAATTGGTTTCGATTGGCCTGCACTTTTTGATCTTTCTTCAATTCCTTGAGCTCCGGCAAGATTAGTCGTCGAATAGCATCCTCAACAGTTTCCAGCAGCCTTGGGTTATTTATTGACGATTTGGACGTCCCTGAACGGAAAGAATATTGATCTCCAGATTTGAGTTGGGGGGAGAGCGCAGAATGGCTCAAAAGGCTGGATTCTGCGCTGACCGAATCCTTTTCTCGGTGCTTTCCTGAACGCCGACGCGAGGATTTCCCTTCAGGTTCCAGGAATTCTTTGCTCACACTTCGACTTTGGCTCTTTTCGCTATGTCTGTGTTTATTGCGAGCCACATCTCGCGGGGCAGCACCAAGTTTCTCTGCCGCTTTATGCGCAATTCTTTCCCTACTTAGACTTCGACTTCTCCTTCTGGAAGGTGTCTTAAGCATCCCCGGAGAGCGAGGTTGCTCATGACCCTCGTCGCCACTTACACTATGGCTTCGTTGGTGACGAACTTGAGACATAGAGGGCGAGCTTTCCAACATGCTATCCTGGGGCATAGAAGATATATCAGATGTTGGCTGAATATACCTGGCCGACAATTCACTGTCCCTCGAAAATTCGATTTCTAATGGTGAACGGCGAGTAAGACCAGCTTCGTCCGCCAAGGATCCAATTGAACTGATACTTATATCATCCGTCACGCCCTCAGTAATCTCTTTGTTTCGAGTTGGCGTTCCCAAAGAAATACGCCTCGTATATGTTGGCTTTTTACCTCCCCCAGATTCACTAATCTGGATATGGTCGTTTTGGTCTCTGATTTTGCGAGCAGCAGATGGCGTCACTTTTACTCTGACACTGGGTCGAGAGTTCAGGCCCCCACCTTTCTTCCCCCCTTCAAAATATTCAATTAAAAGAGAAGTTTGCGACTGGGCGGAGGCTCGGGAAAGCTTGGAGTCCTCTCGATTTTGAGATCGACGGCGCGTGGATATAGTGATGGGGCTGCCGTCATCCGGAATGGAGTATGATGTCTTATCGGTGCGTCGAGAAAGGTCAGTTGCGAGGTCCGTTCCTGTCGCACTGCCCCCTGTTGTATCAAGGAACGAAGAATCGGTAGGAGCTGGAAGCGTCGGTTTGCGGGTGTTAACACCCATCATGAGACGGCTAGCCGAGCAAGGGCATACTCAAAAGGAAAAATAAAAAAAGAGAAGAGATGCGCGATATCAGGGGTAAAGTGAGGAAACAAAGAGCTCCTTTCTCCAAAGGGAGAAGGTTACTTTTGAATCGAACAATGGACTATTGGGAAAGCTGTCACAATGGTGATCTCCCGATCCGTAGCAACAAGCTTTTTGAGGTTAACAGGGTGGAGCCATGTAAGTAAGCCAGCAACCCTTGAATATAGCCACAGATCGGTAGAGATAGCAAGCGTTGGATGCAGTTGTCGATATAGCTCAGAAGACGCGCGGAGTGGTTGAAGGTAGTTAAAGGTGGTTTGAGGTGAGGATAGTGTTGTTGGCCTTGCTCACCTTGGAGAGCTGGGGAGAGCCTCAAAACGCAAACACCTTTTGTTTGCTTGCCAGAGACAAGCTTAAGACAATTTACTTCCCTTTGCAGCGACAATGAAAACCCTATATTACGAAAAACAATCAAAAAAAGGGAAGCAAACATGAAAGAAAGAATGGTTGATGAGGAGTGAAGTTGATATTGAAGATGCAAAGGTGAAAGGCGACAGAGAACGGGGAAGAAAAGAGGCTGACAATGCCTCTCTAGCGTGGGCTGTGGCTTGCTGCATCGAAATGGAGATGTCCGTCATTTTCCCGCCTAATTGGACATCCTGGGCCTTGTTTACCTGCTCTGGGAAACACAACTAGCAATTCCTGCCCAGGCGGTTCCCGCTGATTGACTGCAACAGCAACGAATGCCAAATCTACGCACTAAAATAATCATATACAAAACGGCGTAGGATCAAACCATGGGACCGCTTGGACCATGGTCGATTCTCTGGGCCTAAATATACCTCCCGAAACTTTCGCAGAACCCAATTTCACACCTCAAACCCAGCCAAACCCTGGTGAAAATAAAGAGTCGGATAAAGCCACATCAGACTCGGACCCTCCTCCGTACTCCGTAGACTCAGTCACATTGCCGTTCCAGCCCAACTCGTTCTCTTCCTTTGACAGCTGTTTGACGCCAGGCACTTGGAACTCGTGGATCCAGATGTGACAGAAACCCTCCTATTGTTACCAAAACAACCTGCACAAGGACTCCCTCACCTGTTTCAGTAGGTCGCGCAGACAGCCCATTTACGGATATGGCCTGCATCTGGCCCGAGATCGAAATTTTGGATAGGATGGCCAGGTAACATGAGTAAGAGGTCGCTTCTTGTATTTAATTTCAGCTTCCCATATAGAGTACATCCAAAGCTGAGGACTCTTGTCGTTCTAACCGAAGTCTTCTTCGTTCATCATCTGTATTGTATTTTCATTCCGATGGTCTTTTTCAAGTGTCACTTTGCGTATCACATCGCCGATGCTCCACAGTTGGCTCCAGCCCCAAGTATCCTTGCCTCTCAAACCCTCAAATCGCCAAGTTTAACGGGTTTGCTGGTCTCCCTAGCGACAGAACCCCAATCCTGCCAGCCAATTGGTTGTTCCTACCCTTGATCAGATTTCAGATTTTTCGCGCTTGCCAACACATCACCCCACATCACGTCAAAGAATAGCTGTCCTCAACCGCCGCAACTATCCAGCCCTTTCAGTATTTCCGTCATCATGGTTCTAGTTGCCCTTGCCCACGAAGAACCGTGGACAAAGCAGCGAGCAAATCGAATCATCAAAATGACGAAACGGGATGTTCATTGCTCAATGCACCTGGCAAATTCAATCCTGTCCAAGAAGCTGGCACTACGGAGTAGGTAAAACCCCCAGCCACCTCGCCTGGGCTCCAGGGTGCATGAGAAGGATGCTGTGAGCCCCGACCATGCTCCCGACCTCCGTGATTCTCTCCTACCAATGGTCCAACCTCCCGGTTACATACAGAATACTCCGCTGAACTGTTGATCATGAAAAAAATTGCCCCGCCACCCGGCCACTGGCAATAGTAATCAGGGCACTCACTGTTCAGCGCCAACTGGTAGCAGAGGGGAATCCCTCCAACCGCGTGCCTTGATATATCCCACGTGACATGATTTTTAAACCTCATCATCATTTACCTCTTCACAAGTCCATACTCCGTACATAGCACTGGGTACGAGATGGCAAATGATCAATGGTCTTGCTGATTCTCTTCACTGGGGATCGTCTTTACATTCCAGCCGTCAATACTCCGTACTGCCATCGGAATAATGGAATTTAGGTGAATTGATGCAGATCGAAGAAACTCACACCCTGCAATATGTACGATACTTTGCGGAAGTGTTATCAAAGCAGCTTTGAATCGAAAGATCCTCATGTAAGAGCCTTTTGATGCAACGTTCACTTTGCGAAATTCTGCGAAATTCCTTGAGAAAAATTGGCCAGCTAGGAGGCCGTTTTTCCTAACTGGTGAGAGTTCGGAGAGTGGAATGAATGCAGAAATAAAATAAAATAAAATAAAATGGTATGGCGCTGATCAGGTCTCGTAAGTTGATTAATCTATGAGGAATGAAAAGAGCAGCCAGAACCTGCCAATGAGAAAAAAGCATACGGTAACAGGTTTCAAGCTCACTTCATCACTGATATTATCAAAAACAGTCCTCCTTTCCACATTGGAGTCTGATTCTAGGAGAGTGGAAGTAGAGGCGCCACGTCGATCTACCCCATCAGGGTTTATTATCCAGTGCCTTAGGGTCAATGTGATAATAGTTACTTCCCTTCACTCAAAATTGTCGTTGGATGTCCAATATATTTTTGATTGTCAAAAACTGCCAGTTTTCCATGGTCAGTATTCTGTATCTCCATCTTCATTACCGTTGCTTCACTATCACTGCACAAGAATTAGCCCTCAACGGGATAAATCATTTGAGGCGGAAGAAGCCGCACAGTAAAGTCCCGCTTCTACCTTGTCCTCCTCAGGCATTGCTTGCAAGCTCAGAGTATCTTGCACTAAGTTTCCTTTTTTTTCTCTGTTCTTTCTTTCTTTTCCTTTTTTTTGAAGGAATGGACGAGACAGAAAATCTTGGGGACAAGCAAGTTAAATCTCCCATTTGATATCCCTGGGTATTCTCCCACAAGTATATCAGGAGAGGCAAAATGAGTGGATATGTCTGAAACGCTCGAAAGCTTAGGCAATATTTTCTAGAGGGACATAATTTGCGAGAGGAGAGGTGGAGAAAAGAATGAAGTTTAAAAAAAATGAAAAAAATATTGAGAGTTAACACACCCGCAGTACCATCATTACATCCTTCTGATGCTTTTGCAACTTTTAGGACCGCCCTCTAACCTTCAGAGTCGAAAAACAATAAATAATGGTTGCGTTCCTCCCAAAATGACAAGTTCGAGCCTTAGAATCCATCTAAGAAGCTAGATAGTGTATGCAAAAAGGGCTGTATGAGGTCAAGCTTCCTTTCATTTTATCACGAGAGTATATAAAGCCAATCTATTTTCCACCTTCAGTCACATCACGAAAGAAGTTCGGTTCTAACGGCGCAGGACAGCATCCACATCCTGTCGAATTACTGAAATCCACGCTCTCCTCACGGGACCACTGTTATTGCCGGAAATGTCAAAACGCTGGGTCATTATAACCAACAATCAAAGAAAACGCGGAAAATGCAATTAACGCCCAGAATCATGTAACTAGACGAGCACGTTACATGTTAGGGCTGATACTCTTGGCCAACACGGATGGTCACAGAACGATCAAGGAGCCGATTCGGACACTCCCGCCCGGCACGGCCCTCCATAGAATGCTTGCGAAACATTACCTTCCGATGTCTGAATCCGATATCTAGCGCATCAAATGTATATTCCATAGGCAAGAAAATAAGTCAACATTTTACTGGCGGCCAGGGCCGTTTAGTTTCAAGCTATCAAACCTCGGGGTGGAATAAAATAAATAAAACCAAACTGGCAACTTTCACCTCAGCGTTTCAATATTCTACCATGTTTTCGGGTCCGATCAGATACCCGTACCACCTTCTATCGCTTCCTGCTCTGGCCACGATTTCATGTGTAACAAAGGAAATGGGATCGGACCCGGCGGAATTGCTCTAAAGTATCATTACTACGATTGCCACAGATAGAGAGGAGTCTGGATACATTGGTACGCCATATCTTGGTTATCAACAATTCACAGTATTGTCCAATGGAAGTCCATGGGTGATAGTTAATACTTGACTAACTTTTATGTTATTCAACAATTACACTCTTAATGCAACCGGTGGGCTGTGAGTAAAGGATCGTTAAATATAAAACAACTATCTCTACCATATCAAGTTTTTTGCTTCCTCCTCTACTTCCTCAACCTACTATCTCAATGCATTCATATCGCATTCCAACACCGTTTTGATATTCGCAGCCGGATATGGCTCAGCTGCCTAGCGTTTCGTCATCCTCATCCACAGCCCATCCGTTCCGCCCCCGATGGTGACAATGAAGCACATATCCATTCGTTGAGTTTGAAAAGACGACATCGCGGTGTCACAGGTGTCCACTGCTTCCGACCAGCTTAGCCATGGCTGCACGCGTTACACCGTATTTCCCGTTAGGTTGAGCTATCAGCCCATTCGTATCCTAGGCCTCAGCAGAGTATAACTAGCCGAAAAGCTGCTGTCTGTGCCTTTTTTTTTTTCTTGCTTAGTAGAAGACCTCTTTTAGCATCCAGTGCACACAGCGATACAGCATGCTTACCGAAATCGTTCGGGGGAACTCCCACCATGTGCTCAAACTTCTTCTCACAATCGGCATGTCGACAGTCATGGGATACATCGGGATTCTCTTCCTCTCACCATTCGTTGCAGGTTCGTAATGTTCCATCAAAAAATGCTACAGTTTGTCTGACATATCACTTTAGCTGGCCTTGCCCAAGCTGCCTACATGATAGCCAGGACTCGTCGCGGAGGCACCCCCTTATCCAGCATGAAACAACCTGGGTCATTATCGGCAGAGGCAACCCTCGAAGGGGTCATGAATCGCAAGCTAGACACTAATTTAACTCTGTTAAAAAAAGTAGTCCAGGAATCTGCATCTTACACAAGTGTACTTACAGCTGTGCTGCTCCAACTCGCTCAGCCAGGGGTTGGAAAAGGGGCTGGAAGGCACAGCACGTTCAGCAGTCGCCACGCGGAGCGGACACTTAACACAGCCATATATATCAACGTTATTGCATTCGGCACTGAGGCAGAGAAGATTGCTTTCCGTAACTTCGTCACAACCGCACATAAACACGTTAACGACAATAAAACCAAGAAGAGCTATGACGCCATGGACCCGCGGCTACAGCTCTGGATTGCTGCGGTTACCTACGTAACCATGATGGATAAGTACGAGGCTATCGTCCGCCCTTTCTCCGAAGCAGAGCGCGATCAAGTCTACCAACAATTCTCCATCTTTCCCACGGCCCTTCAAGTCCCACTATCCATGTGGCCCGAAAATCGCCAAGCTTTCCAACTGTATTGGGACAAAGAAATTGCAGGTCTCCGTCCACCCAAGGAAGCCATTCGTATCGCTCAGGGCCTCCTCCACCCCACATATGCCAACCTTTCACCCGCTCTCGCCATAATCGTATTCTTTAGACACTCGCTGGACACGACTATAGCGACGGAAGAATTGCCTGAACATATTTGTCAGCGCTATGGACTCAAGAGCACGTGGTGGTCAAGAGCTCGATACTCAGCGCTCATTGCGTTCTATAAGCTAACGTATCCTCTCTATCCAGAACCGGTTAGGACTTGGCAGAGGGACTACTATCTTTGGGTGATGAGGCAGAGGTTTGCGAAGGAAGAGCGGGCGCGAAACGGAAAGTCGCCTCTTGAGGCTTGAGCGGGAAACAAACCTCAGAAAATTCAAAGGTGAATGAATCATCTTCCCGTTTGACCCGGCCAAGAGTGCTGAGATGGGATATTAGAACCCGATGTTCAATATTATTTAGCTTGTGTTAGTTTCTTCATTCTGCTATGCTAATTTTCTTTACCTGCTTCTACATTAAAATAAGGGAGGGATGTTAAAAAAGTGAGGGAGAGGAAAGCGTCCGAGTTTTATTAGCGTCTAAATATTTTCTCCAGCAACAGATAATTGGGTGATTCAGGAGCACATGCATTCATGTAACTGCATAGATGGGCTCATTCCTCTAGAGGTTTACCCGGGTATATACAGTTCATCACATTACCTTCCACGTATTGTGGTTTTCAAGAGCGACAAAGAAATTAAAGGGCCATTTAGACGGTGTTGGGAGACCAAATCCTCCGAATGTTTATTGTCTAGTAATGAAGCAACGAAACGGAAAAACAAAGAGAGAGCAATGCGTCAATGCCTGGCTATCTAGTACACCATTTACCTATCCACAGAACATCAAAAAAACAAATGATAAAGCACAAGAGGGATGTTTATCGTATGCGCGGTATGTATATATAAGTCACGTTTATGCCAAGACGCAACTTCAACGTCTTGGACTAAAACCCACACCTTAAGCCTCCGCCTTCCGTTTAAACTTCGGCGCATGTTTAGGCTGACTGCCATAATTCCGTCGACCCTGTTGCTTTTTATCCCGGCTCATGCTGGCGGCTAGGGTAATGTCGACGCGGGGAGGGGTTGGAAAGCCAAAGCTCTTGGCTACTTTGACGAGATCGAGTTTGTGGACATCAAAGACGGAGCGGAGCGAGTGTGAGGCGTAAGCTTGCAAGTAGGATCTGTATCCGTCTTTGGCGGACTAGTATTTTTGATAAAGAAAAAAAAAAAAAACGTATGGTTAGTGCGCCCATGGGGATTTTCAACCGATACGGTGCGGGAAAGGGTAGCAGATAGATACGGGGAAACGCAATTAGGCAAAGCAGTTGACAACACCCCTGAAATGAAATATTGAAATATATCTAAACTTACCTTATTCAAATAGTAATTCTGTCCGATGAGTTTCTCCAGCTGAGATTGAACGTTGACAATCCTTTTAGCTGGGAAATCGAACTCGACGACGGGGACTCGAGCCTCCTTCAGGTGTTTGAGGAAGCCCACTTCAGATGGCTGTAGGAACATCAAGCTTCGACCCTTGCCATTTGCGCCACGTGCTGTTCGGCCAACGCGGTGAATGTAGTCCCGGGGATCATCGGGAGGATCGAATTGAACGATCCAATCAACAGCGGGGATCTGGATATGATTAAAATGTCAGATACTACTGCCATCGCCGTCCCTCAAGTGAAAAACTTCGTTATATATAAAACCACCTACATCTAAGCCTCTCGCGGCAACATCCGTGCATATCAGCGTCCCCTGAGTTGCATTGCAAAATTCGAAAAACGTATTTGTGCGCTTCTGCTGTTTCTGTTTGCCGTGGAGGTCAAGGACGGGGAGGTCGATATAGTTCAATAATTCGGCATGGTACTTGACGCAGTTACAGCTGGAGAAGAAAACAATTATCTTCTTCTTCAAATTACGCTTCAGGAAGGAGAAGAGGAGGAGAAATCGTTTGTCGGAATCGCAGATGACATAGCCTTGTTCCAAGCCCTCGACTGTGCTGTGCTCCTTGCGGTGATCGACATTTATATAAAGCGGTCCCTGCCGGAGCGAAATACGGGCAAGGTCTTCTACCTTTGTCGTCTGCGTGGCCGAGAATAACATTGTTTGCCTATCCTCAGCTGGCAAGATCTTAACGATCTGGCGCATTTCATCTTCGAAGCCGACTTCGAGAATCCGGTCTGCCTCATCTATCACAAGAGCCTTGAGGTTCTTAAACACAAATCCTTGCGTGTTTTGAAGGTGATCAAGAAAGGCGGCCGGGAGTCGCAATTAGCAGATTAACGCCTTTCGTAAGCTTCTCCGCTTCAGCCCTCCTATTCGCTCCTCCAATAACGATACCGTATGTCTGGGAGTGGTGAGCCATCAGCTCTCGCGCGACACCAATATCTGCAACGCAAGT